GTACAACGACTGAAACGTTGTAATAAATATGGCGACAAAGATGAGAACAATAGTCCGAATAATGTAAACAGTGTACTTTTAAAATCTTTGGCTTATTCTACCGGATATTTAAAAATGTAAAATTTTGGTTCATAAAACCGTTTCTTTTGTGAAGAGTCCTTTCGCTCCGTTTTGTGTCGTCAGAATTTTCTACTCAAAGGCGCTAACCAACGGCCGTCAGTCAGATACAAAAATAAAATCTCTTTTGAAAGACGCGTGCTCACTCTTTTATGAGTTTCTCTAATGCGTGTCAAAACTCAAACTAGTCAATTTGCATAAGCACGCGAAGACCCTATATGGGCAAAAAAAAACAAATCAGTTATCTTTGCTTTCCTTTTCCCGCTAGTATACACACTATCAGCAACAAAACAGACGATAATTATAAACGTCTGCAAAAAGAAAAATCATTAAACGAGGAGAAAAAACGTCTGTTTGACAATTGGATACATTTTTTTTCTTAATTTGAATATAAAATACAGTGTAGTTACAAAATATGTGTGCATACAAAAATATAACAATATTTTATTATCTTAATTCCCAATACAAGCATCATATGAGCGATGGAAGGCATTCGAGAACACTTGGATACCCGAATCTCTAGGATGTGTGGGAGACTCACGAGTTAATGGGGAAAATAGCTAATATATTGTGTTTTCATCTGCAATTCTGTTTAAATGCAAGAAAAACGAAACTGCACCTTCTAGGCTAATGGATGACATGAAGTGGAAAGATTATATTGTATCAACTGATTGGTCTGACGCTAGCAAATTTGGTTCATTGTGTCATGCTAGACAATCTTTTTTGCCAGAATCTATCGTACATGTCTACCATTCATCCATGCTTTGAATATTGCTACAATATCTGAACCGTTGATTCTGCTATATATTTAGAGATTCTTGATAAAACACACACACACAAAAAGAATCTTGGGGAAAAATCTATGACAAAGTGGAAAAATGTTTCTTGTGACGTGTTTCAACTCTTAGGACTTTATCAAATGTGTTATGATAAAGTTCTAAATGAAGAAATGCCTACAAAAAACTTTTCCCACTTTACATAGATACATTTCCCTCCCCAATAGTGTTCTTGAAAGAAGAATCTGCAAAGTCCTTATCTGGCATCTCGGTCATTTTCCTACCGCCATAACGTAGGCCCTCTGTGCCTTTTTCGTAAATATTTTCATGGTAATTGTTCTGAAGAAATTTCTGCTATGTTACCTAGACATTATGAATTTAAGCGCTGAACTGGATTTGCCAACAGGGTTTCACCATTTTACAGTTGAAATATTTAGCTATTACCGCAAGTTCTGTGCTAACAGTTTCTTCTATTAGATGCTTTCGGTCATTTGTTTTCCAGTCAAATTTGATCTTCTCTCCCTTTCCAAACTTAGCTTCCCCGTGTCTTCTTTATGAGATCCTTTCGGTCATTTGTTTTCCAGTCTAATTTGATCTTCACTTTCTTTCCAAACTTAGCTTCCCTTTTTCTTTTCTATAAAGACTTTCATGATATTTGTTCTAATAAACTTTCCACTATGGTACATAGAATTTACGGTTGAAATGGCTAGATGTAACCGTAAGTTCTATGCTAAGAGTTTCTTCTCTTTCACTTCTCTCTTGTTGAATTTTCTTTCGGCTTTTTTCTTTCCTGTTAACTTTGATCTTCAATCTTTTAAATGCAATCAAAATCTTTATCTTTTGTTTTCTTAATTCCTGATCTTTTATTGTTCTCTCTCCTTAATAATATTTTCTTTTTCTTATATTCTTTCACACACAGTGACCCCTTGCGTCTTAGTGGGTGTGTTGCCTTGCTTGGGTTGAAATGATAAAAAAGAATGATTACAAGTGACGAGAACTAGATTATTTATAACAAAAAGAGAATTGAGCCACTGGTATCCATTTTAAAACCCAGTTTGCAATCGAAGATGTTACTGTGTAACTAGTGGGCTTCGTAGTCATTGTGTATTATAAGCTCCTTCCGTAAAATCAGACATTGAAATCAGACAAATGCTGATCCCAATTGGAGCAAATGAAGGCAGCTATCGATGAAATACGTCCGGAAATGGCCAATCAAAATAGTGTAGTCTTCCGTCAGAATAACGCCATCACTGTGTAGACCCGGAGGAAATTGAAGCAACTTGGCTGATATCTCCAACTACACTCGCCATACTTATCTGACCTTTCACCTTTGGATTACCACTTATTCCCTAAAAATGTATCTTAATAAGAATAAAAAATTCGATTCTCTGGAATCCTGTAAAAACTACTCAGACGAGTCAGGAGAGCTTCTGTGAGCACCGAAAATAAAACACCTCAGAGATGGCGAAATGTAGTGGCATAAAATATGTACTTGAAAAAGATCTATATACATAGATATTAATATTGGTTTTGAAATTCATTTAAAACAAAAGCGATATGAACTTTTGTACCGCCTTAATTAAAAATTAACAAAATCACTTAAAAATATTTTGGGAAAAAAGAATTAATGCTTTTTCAGAAGTAAGGTCTATAGTCTCAATGAGGTGACTCGTCTTGAATATCTATTGGGACTTAGGCTCACTCCAGACCTAATGGAATTCGTATATATGATCCCTTGCTAAAGATTCTGGCAAAATTGTCGATCATTTACAGCTTCTGAAAGTGTCTGACTCTTACTACCAAGCTCAATATTTACAAAAGTCAGATCAAGATTTCGCCTGCCCAGTTCTCACTTCCCAGTCTGGATAGAGTTCAAAAGCAGTTATGTGCCCTTATGGGTGATGAATTATTTTTCAACCCTACGACTCCTTTCCCACAATCAAAACTTGGCAAGGTTTTTCCCACTCTGTTGCTATTTCCGTGGGAAATGTTCTTGCATGATATATTCCTGAGTCACACCAGTTCAGATTTGTACAAACACGACCCATCATACCACGTCCACACGGTCGGGTCACCCTCATTCTCTTCGTAATCGATTAGTTTAGAAAAAAGTTACTTGAGGACGGCTACTTTGTGCAACAGAATCCTGAGAGAATGCTTCCCCGATCACTAAAACTTAACATCTTCAAGTCTAGGTTCAACTTTGTCTATCCTACCTATTCTCATAATTTTCACATATTTCCTCCTGATATATTCATGCAGCAACTCTATTCAGTAACACTCTAACTTCAGTGGCTACTGGACATTGTACTGGGAGAACATTAAGTAAAAAAATATATGATTTCTGTTTTTCTTCTTTTTTGGCTCTAAACGTTTATGAATGATGGATCTTCTTGTAAAATTGAAATAAGCAATCAAAATTTGTCATGTGATCTTAGTTGTTATTCTGTCATTCTGTTATTATTGTCAATTGTAACTATGTCATTCTGTTGTTCTGTCATATTTTTTATTTTATCTATTCTGTTATTCTGTCATTCTGTTATTCTGTCAGCCTTTGAATCTGTCATCCTCTTATATTGTCATTCTGTTATTCTATCATTCTGTTATTCGCCACTTGTTTCATTGCTTCCAACCAAAGACGACGTGTAGGAAGTTTGCCAATTTCGTAGAACAGATTGTCTACGGTAATCAGTGTCTTTCTTTCTTTTTAGTTAAGTTCCTACATTCCCCATTGCTTCCCCCATCCCACTGCAACATTTCGACCAATCCATTCTCAGGTGAATTTCTCAGATGAGGAGATTTGTTAGTCTTGTTCCGATTATAATCTCTTCTCTGGGCGATGTGATAATGTCTTGGTAATTTTTTTTCAGCAAACTGCACTCTGCCAATACTTCCGCTATAAACAGATCAAGAAGAAACTCTGCACCAGACAAAATTCTCAAGACGAACAAGGCCAAGGAAAATATCGAAAAATACCATGAAAAAATAAACAGTAAAAATTAAGATGGCATCAAATTTGGAATAATAATAATAAAAAAAAAACTTGGTCGGAAAAATATTTTACAGAATCTGCAGCATTTTTCCTCTTGTTGACAACCATACAATTTGTGAACCAGAAATTGGAGATGTGAAAAAAAAGCAGGTAGAAAAGTTTAAATATCTGCGAAGTGTTTTAAAAGACGATGTAAAATTGTGATACCGAAATATGAAATATCGAAAGATGCCTTCCAAAAACTAAACAAGATATTAAGAAACAGAAAAATTTCGTTAGAAACAAAGAAACGAATTCTGTAATTCTATGAAATACCGGTCCTCCTATATGGCACTAAATGCTGAACAATTTCCTCACAGAAGAAGAGAAGATTTTAGGCATCAGAGATGTAGTTCTACAGTGGGATGAGGAGAATACTATAGGCGGAGCGTGTAAGCAGTGATGAAGTTTGAAGGAAAATAGGAACATAGAGATCATTTATATTTACAATCAGGAAGTGACAGTTACAATTTCTAGCAAACATGTCGAGAAAAGAAAGCTTAGAGAATTTAACACTCACAGAACATACTGAAGTAAAAAAGAACAGAGATAAACAGCGAACTGTCTACCTAACGAGAATGTGGAAATCAATATCAGATTGGTTAAATGATTGATTGATTGGCATTTTTACATCTTATCTACTTTTTATGGAGGTTATTTAAAGCCGATATATATATATATATATATATATATATATATATATATATATATATATATATATATATATATCCATGGTAATATTTTATTTTGAAAGACCGATTCTTAAGTCTCCTCTCATCAGACCAAACGATTTCAACAATAAATGGATTTAAAAATCCATCCAGGCACAGGCAAAAAAAACAAAAAAAAAACAACGAAATATTTAAACATAAGATGTGCTTTAAAACAAAGTTTTAATATGAGCGAAGGGAAAAAGAGAGAAAGAGAAATGGGGAGGAGCAAAATATATATATATATATATATATATATATATATATAGTAGGGAGTTATATAGGGAGGGAATTTTGTATGAGTGCATGCAGTTTGACTCCTTTTCACCGGATGTGAGAAGTAAGGTAGAGTGAATATGTTCAAACAGAACAAAGAAAAGAGATAAACAAAAGAGAAGAAAAGAATGAGAGCAAAAGAAAGACAAAGGAAAGAAGAAGAAAATAAAAGACAGAAAAAGAAAAATGAAAGATGGTTCAGAACTGGTAATCATCAGGGTTTAAAATTGGATATATTCATAAATTGTTTGTTCAATGCATTTAGTTTTTACGACATAACTATACCCGTCTAATTTTAAAAATAGGTGATTAAAAAATAAATAAGTAAAAAAAGGCAAATTACGAATAACTTTCTAAAAAAACAATATATAATAATTTAAAAAAAACGATTCTTCACGAAGAAAAATATAAAATTATATGTAAAAAAGATTTTTTTTAAATAAATTGATAAGCAAAAGATCATTTTAAGTGAATAAGATTATGAAGATACATATGCACCTACATACATATTGAGACATATACATAAATACATACAGATGAATACGTATAAACACACACAAGTACCGTATGCACATATACATGTATATATCTATATACATACAAATAAATATATATACACACATACACACGTACACCCACATACACAAGTATACCAATATATATATATATATATATATATATATATATATGACAAATATATAACGAATATATATGGATATGAAAAATTAATTCTGAAAAAAATCATAGACGCCTACATCTGTATACATGTATAGGCCCATATGTATGCAAACACACAGAAAAGCACAAAACATGTGCACATTCATACATACATATATACATATATATTAATATACAACTAAAATGCATATATATATATATATATATATATATATATATATATATATATATATATATATATACACTCTTACCCAATACATATATACGACAAATGGTAGCGAGATGGCTAAACGTCTTGCCTGAAGAACTGGTAAAATTAAATCAATTAATCTAGTGGTGTTTTAGATATTAAACATTATGTGGGATGGATAATTGTACTGTTACACTATTTGTACAATTTTGCTGTTACACCCGGTATATATATATATATATATATATATATATATATATATGAAGACATATATTTGTAAAGTGTGCTATATTTATGGGATAAAAGTGCTCAATATCAGAAACAGAGCGATTTAAATATAAATATAAAGTGAACATCGAAGTCAACACTCAGAGGCGACAGGTTGTTTCATGTTAGACGCACTCTTCTGGCCGCCTGATTGCGTCTAGCAGTCTAGCATGAAACAACCTGTCGCCTCTGAATGTTTACTTTGATGTTCATATTTATATATATATATATATATATATATATATATATATATATATATATATGATTTCTGGATACAAGTCTTAGTATTTTATCCATAGAAAGGAAACGAGGTGGATCCATAGCTTTTCCAAGGGTATTTATGCGTAAGTCAATATAAGTGACCTCAATCGAATTTGAAACCGGCTCTCCCATTTCTCATTCCGAAACATTAACCATTACAACAGCCGCACACTCAAGCTCTATTCAACGATATCGTCGTGCTCCCGGTATATATTATTAATAATAATTAATAACAGCCTTTCCTTTTGATTTTTATGATAAAGAGCGGATTGCACTGATGGTATTAGTGGATTAAATCAAGATCAACCGTAACAGAAAATTAAATATTTATTTTACCGGCGTAGATAAGCGTGATTTACAAAAATCAAATACTTAATCACATATCATGACACACATTGTAAGAAATACTAAATCTTGCATTTACAGGCATATAAGATGCATATATTGCAAGTTACTGAAGAGAATATTTAAAAGGAGATTTAAAATCGTTTATTTTATATGAGAGACAAAAATGACGTGATTCAAAATATCCCAGATAGTTCATCTTTTATTTGTGATCATACTTAGGCATAGTTATAAGCAAAATTAAGGGAACAATTAAGTAAAGATGAAGTTTAATACCAGACAAAAATGAATAATAATAGTTGACAATGTGTTGTAGCATACCTACGAATGATAATGGTTATGTCCCCATTGACATAAATAGAATAGTAAATACTGTATGTTGGTCTTCATTTGGAGATTCGTCTCCAGCTATGCTGATCAAACTCTCTAACTCCATCAGAGAGAATCTCCAGACGAGGCTATTTCGAAAGGCAGAGCCTCGTCTCGGGAAACAGCTACTCGATCCCGTTTTATACGGGATCTACAACGAAGTTTTGGTCGAGCCTACGGGCTCGGATACCTCTCATTAAATTCAGCCTTGTGCTACATCTAACCGAGTGGGACGGTTGGTAGTTATCCTGCAGTTGAAGATTCATTGTGGAATTCGCTTTACTCACTTCTAGCAGTTGACTACTTCTACGTGCTGCTGGCGAGTCTTATATGTGTTGTTCATGTACTAAGTATTAGCATTCATTTCCAAATTCATGTGATTATTATATTCAGTATCCTTCGCTAGGTTACAACACATTGCTTCCTTTACTAAAAAATGAAAATAGAAGTAAATACTAACCAACAAATAATAATAATATTTGACAAATTGAATGTCATAAAAAAATAAAGATGAAATTAATACTGGTCAAAAATTAATAATAATGGCTAACAAAATTTCATTTAGTAAAAATGAAGATGAAAGTAATTTTCTAAGAAAGATTAATATTAATGGTTGACATTTGTTAATCTAATAAAAATGAAGTTGAAAATAAATACGAGTAAAAAGTTTATAATAATGGCTGACAATACTTCATCTAATAAAAACGAAGATGAAAATAAATTTATAATATTAATTTACAACGCTTCATCTAACGGAACATTAAATTTAAGTTAAATACGAGAAATGCAATAAAAAAAAAACGAATCACTATTGCAGATATATTTATCGTTAAATGTACTTGTATTTGCCGGAACACGACGCCATGTTGGATGTTAGTGAAAGTAGTTTTGCTAGATTGATTGACAAGCCCAGCGCTAATAAATTCTGAGTTGACTTTCTTCTCATCAATAGTCCACTTCATTGTAAAAAGTCGCCTGGATGTCGATAAGGATGTGCTTTTGCAACGGATTTATTTTACTTGTACAGCGAGGCAATCCTTAAAGAAGTGAAGACCTACCGGTATTTATTATCAGAGAACATAATCTTAACACACACACACACACACACACACACACACACACACACACACATATATATATATATATATATATATATATATATATATATATATATATTAAGGTGGACTGTGTGAAGAATCAGAAATGGAAGTAAAAGAATTCGTAGAGAGAGTAGGAAAGGAAAAGCGGAAAGGTTATGTGAATGGAGATATAATTCTTAGCTGTTATCAAACGAGATAACCCTCTGTAAAAGCTATGTATTCGGGATGTCAAAATCAAGCCGCTATAGAAATTTAACTTTGCGGGTCGGGTCGCAACAAACGATGAAAAATGTAGTACAGAGATCCGGCGATGCTAACGAACAGCAAGATATCCCTTTCAGGAATTAATTTAAGTATTAAGAGAAATAAAAAAAAAAGTTCAGGCACGCGACACTGCTACGTAATATCTAATAGTCTTTCTGACTGTTAATGCTAGGCAATTTCTTTACAGATGAAGAAGAGACTTGAATTGTCAGTTATGTAGTTCTATCGTTGAATGTTAAGAATACCATGGAAAAGTGAATGTGTGCAATGAGGAAGTCTTAAAACTACAAGAGAAATTAGAAAGGAGCAGTTGAAAATATCTAGGGTATAAAATGAGGAAAGTAGGTTTGGAGATTCTAACACTTAAAAGATATGTTGAAGGTAACAGACGTAGAGGAAAATCGACTTAACTAGTGTGTGTTACAAGGTTGAATGATAATTGTTAAAAGTTACGTAAAACGACAAAAAGATAGGAAGTTGTGGAGAGCCATGACACGAAATAACAGAACTTATAAATAAAGTATCCGGATTTTAAACATAGATATATCGTGAAATCTTTATTACAAGTATCTTTTTCTGTTTAATGTTTGCTAACTAATATGATAAAATGGCAGATCTATTTAAGACTTATCTGTAAACTAAAACGACTCCCCCCCATAATATCTACTTGAAAGTTAATCCAAGTTGCAAAACCGAGTTAAAATATGGCAAATGATGCGATAATTGAATACTTATCTCTAGAAAGCTTGGATTGACTTTCTTCTCATCCGTTAACCAAGTTTATACAGCTTATCTTAAAAGTAGAGAAATTAAATTTGGATTTCGACAATTCGACGTGTGAGTGTGCGGCTCTGGAGGCTTTTAATTATCGCCGGGATATGGGAGACTCTTGCTCATTCCCCTCTCACTTGAGATGCTTATATATGTTTCTGTCGTCCGGTTGTTCTTCATGAGCATATCCTAAGGTGTTTGCATGTCGGAGACAGTAACTGGTATTCTGTAAAGTTTGAATCTGCAGGGAGTGACTATAAGATCACCTTCCAAGCAGTCATTCGAATGAACATATCTTCTAGTTTGACAACGAGTGCAAAGATTACCATGTTTCTTATTATCTTATATATATATATATATATATATATATATATATATATATATAAAACTTCGTATCATCCAATTTGATTCAGTATTGTAAATGTCCTTTAAAGATTGCGTAGTTTCCTTTACTTCTAAACTGTAATCTACATACTAAGGATATTTCCACAGAGAAAACGAAAATCTAAATAAATAGCTTTTTTGTCTGTCTTGTTTAATCAAGTTCATTCCAAGCAAGGCAGTAAAGCCACTATAACACACCGGGTTACTGGGTGGGAAAAAATTAGAAAAAAAAAAACAAAAACAAAAAAAAAATTACCAAGTAGTGAAAACAATAGAAGAGTAATCACGAATAAATTCGATAACGATTGACATTGCATTTAAAGATTAAAATTGTTTAAAAAGCATGGAACTAGTAGAGTGTTCCACAAGCAAGATGTGCGAGAAAAGAAACTGTTAGCATAGAACTTACGGTTAAATCTAACCAACACTATATCGATGAGATTTCGTCGCCAGTCTAGTACTGCGTTTTAATTCGTAGAGTCTAGGTACCATAGCGAATAACAATATCTATATGTATATATGTACAAAATGTGGCACAAGGCCAAAAAGTGGAATGGGGAAAGGAAGGTCTTCTATTTTAAATTTA